CCGCACGTTTTGGTACCTTTTTTGTGTATGTGCGACCAAAGCTGCGGGAGGAGTAGCGCGCCGAAAAACGTACGGAAGAATAATAAGTTTAAGTTTAAGTAGGAGCAATAATAGTAGTGTGCTGTTTCAGGCACACTAATAATAATATGGTGACACAAGCAGTCAGACAATCAAACAGGTTGTAAACAAGCCTCCAGATCAGTCAAACTTAAGTGCAGAAGAAACTGAAGGCAAACAGTAAAAATGATTACAAAAACATCCATCACAATTCACATTCAGGCTTATTGGTTCAACTATGACCTGCTGTGTTTACTGTGTTTTTGTGCACACACTTTTCCTGTGCAATTAGGGATTGCTACTGAAATGCTGCTTGTAGTTTAACCTCCAAATAAGGGTTATTAGTAAGAGTAAGAATCTTTGTCAATCTCATGATTTGATTTCAATTCCTGGTGTTATGATTAATTTTGATTTTCAATAAATAGCCAGAAAGGGCACACTATCTTCCATCTTTTACCTCAAGGTAAACCATTCACTCATGTTTTTAGTCCACTGAATTGCAATATGAAACATAACTGGGCATATTCTTCTGTTCTGAATTGTGGGATGCCCTGGTAGCTCACCTGGTTGAGTGTGCGCTCCATGTACAAAGGCCAAGTCCTCACCACAATGGCCTGGGTTCCATTCCAATACTTTGCTGCATGTCATCCTTTTTCTATCTCTCTCTCCCCCACTTTTCTGCCACTCTTCAGCTGCTAATAAAGGCAAAAAAAACACCCCGCAAAAAAAGAAAGGGAACCTTTTTTGCTGATTTCATGAGTCAAGCTTGTGACAGAAGATAATGTTCTTTGTATGTAATGTAATCATAAAGAGGTTTAGAGCCTGACTGAAGGGGATTTTTGAGACAGAAGCCGATTTCAGATTCGAAAATTCATTGATTGAATTTTTGAGCTGGAATGAAAATAGACCTCTATGTGGATTTTGCACTGATGTGCAAAGGTACTCAGGAGACTGCTTTCTTAAACAACCTTCTGCTTTATATACTTGAAAAAAAGTGCTGTGGTGCTCCAATGTCCCCAGCACTCTGCTGCAACACCAGTACCAGGGAAAGCAGTCATTGCCATTGGTGCAGGTCTTTGGAAAAAAATGGCTGTACATTTTAAAATGTAGTGAGTTTGGTGCTCCATTTTGCTAAATTTACTTTTAGTAGTAGTATACCCTAAATCAGGGGTCTCCAACTATTTTGAGAGTAAGGGCTACCTAAAGGGGTTTAATTATTGTGCTACCATGTATATTTGCCAACATGTTAAACTGATGCTTTAAATACAAAGACATAACTGTGTGTATTTTCATCTTCAGTCATTTTCATATGCAGGGTTGATCATGAGCATTTAGAAGTGCAAGTGAGAGAAAGTCGGCGAGGGCTTAGGCCTCCATTTGGGACCTCCAATGAACAGAAGATGCCGACGAGCAGAATAGGAAAGCGTGGTAACTCAGAACATGTAATAAAGGCTAGTCTCAGCATACTTTTTTCATTCCTAAAAACACATCAGTAATATTTAAATGTTTTGACCCAACGGAACACATTTGTACACTTCCTTGCGAGTGTGTGTAAACTGACAACTCCTGACTAAGTGACATATTTTCTGGATATTTCATATTATATTCAAAACTGTACAATGAACCCAAATAGTTAACTCAGTGATTTGGATGAATTCACCCCTGTGTGCGGTCCCAACCCCCAGATTGTGAGCCACTGTCATAGGCTACTCATGGGCTACCAGTTGCCACCACCTTGGAGACCCCAGCCCTAAATACTTTACCTTGCAAATATTCCTTCCATTTGCGATGATAAAATCCAAAATGGGCACAAATGCTAAACTTCATTGAAGATAAACAATAGCTGACTGTACAATTCCTAAAAAAGGGAGAAGCGCCAAACCCCCACCCCATCCTTATTTTAAAGTTTTTAGCAGCGAGCTTAAGATAATGACATTTGCAAGACTAACAACTAAAAGAATAGATCTTCTCCCTTCCATATTTATATTTTTGTGTGAGTTGGATTATAACTCACATCGTTACTAAAGACAGAAACTAATGGGACCCAAGACACTACAAACGGGCAATACCGGCTATACCATCACAAGTATCCGTGTTCCCTGGCGATACATGATCTACGACATGCGCAAAGGAGGAAGCCTAAGGCCAGGGCAGCCAGATACGACCAATCCCTCCGATGATCCCAATCACACGAAATAATCAGCTTCGACTAGTTTAGTCTCTGGATCTCCAGCCGGTCTTTCGCCATTCGATCTTTAACATCACGAACATGGATTGTATTTCATGGAAGTACATCCTGCACTCACAGATAGCCAAAGAAGAGGAATTCTTCTCCAAGCTCAATTCAGACGAGGCTCCCATATATATCACCTCTAACCATCGTCTAACCAAGGGGGGCGAAACCTAAGAGCATTTTGCCGCTGTGATTTAAAACTAAAATTTTGGTCACGTTCTGAGGCAAGTATATCCCCATGCAATCTCTTACTCACCAAAATACATTGTATAAACGGTCACTGCCTTAGAGCTCATGACCTTGGTACAGAGTGCCTAAATAAAGCATAAAGACATAAGACTGTAAACTAGGCTAAGAAGAGCTCTAACCGATGAACGCCTCTGCCTTGTTAGCCGACAACAGGCTACTGAAAAGAAATATTGGGATGACGCCGCCACAGGTGACATTGGAAATGCTAATCTCAGGGAACTAGGATACACATCTCATGGCCAACTGTAAAATCAAGCCAAGATGCCCACAAGCGGGTGGATAAACGAAGGGAAATGAAAAGGAATCGGCGATGAGAAGGAGCAGACACTAAAACAGAAGAGGCCAATCACTCAAAATAAACGCAGCATGCAATCTTTCGCTGTCAATCACGAAAAGAATACAGTAAAAACTTATCCAGAAGTCTGGACTCTCTAACTTGTGTCCTGTGTACTTGGTCAGGTGGTCTGGCATCCCCATTTTTGCGCCAATTCAGAAAATTCTGGAATGTGCTGATGTCTTTGATGAATAATAGCGACACATCAACCAAGTAATCAGAAGAAAAACGATGCCGCTTGAATCCGGGTTATGATACCTGCATAGCACCGAAACTATGCCACAAGATATGATCCTACCACCACACACAACATACCAACACACGAAACCGCCGGCTACATCGTCACCACATAGAACCATTAACACCAGACCAAAACCACCAGAACAGCCACATCGGTACATGGAGCATATGGTTTTAGGGTACTTTACCATAAGTTTAGCATGGTGGCCATTTTCCTACATTACCCAACGAACAATTCGCAGAATCTGAGTAACAAATATTAATACAATAAAACACCTGGTCGACTTGTCACATAATCGAGGCATCGATCACACATCAGGCACAAATGCGCCATGAAACTGCCGAGAACGATAGGAGCGCCAGGGAATACTCAATCGCGAGAGTCCACACATCAGTTGACCCTTACCAGAAGAGGTGAGCATAGGGTAAGAAAAACTAATTAAGGTTATTCTATTTACAAAAAAAAATCAACAAGTGCAGACCTAACCTAGACATGGAGAACAAAAGCTATCGAGCAGACAACAGGAAGGACACGGAGACTACGGGGTAACAACTTGGAGCTCTGCCATACAAATTAATTGGTATAAACGAAGAAATCAGGATCCCGTATTCTCTACACACATTGCCGGATCTCCAATTCCCTTCAAGATATATTGTGGAGACCAACTGCCAAATGACAGCCTACTCGATGAACCCAACGCTGTTCCTCAGGTACACCATGGCACTGTACACTCCACCTAGACCCTTAAAAGATTAGCTCCGCCTTCTCCCGCACACGACTCCCTTCTTTCCATCTTCGCCACATTCCGCTACGCACCCGGCAGCTCACAAACAACACTGGCCACTCAGACTTTCTAACGGTCCACGGCAACTGGCTACCGCTCACCACGCCCATCTACCGCGGTCCTGTCTCATACTTGTGTGTTGGTTGTTGTGTGTGGTGTGTGTGTCTGGTTGTTGGTGTGATGTGTCAGAACATCTTCAATGCTGCACCGTGCACCTTGTTTCCGTTCAACAAATATTAATTATGTACAATATCCACATTAGTAAATCTGATTGTGAAATGGCAAAACTA